CCGGCAGGGGCGTCCGAGCCCCCCCGGGCCACCCGCCCAACCCCCGCGCTCTGCAGCGCGGGCTCCTGAAATCAGCGTGAGAACGGCAGAAATTCGAGGTTTAACGCCCGGAAGAGCTGTCCCTGCCTTCAGGGAGTTTTGTGGCCACTGCTAGGGCAGGGCCTGAGGGTGGTTACAGTGTTAATCATCAAATTTCAGCTCAGTGCTGTTGGTCTGTCAGAGCTCTGCTTTGATTTTTTTCTGTGGAATTTCAGTTGAGGAGTGTGCTTGTGCTCTGCAGAAGTCCGATTTTAGTTACAGTTTTGCAAGGTTTAGTGTACTTATCCTTGTCATCAGTAAATTGCCACCATGTATATAGCAAAATGTAACTTTCAAATGTTTCTTTGTTACCTAGAATACTATGTATTTATTAAAATTATGTTGTGGGGTTTTTTCCGTAAACAGATCTTCCACGAACTAATTTTAGACGTTTATCATTTGATCACTGCAGGTAAGATGACAAATTTACATTATCATTATTAAGGGATGGATCTATTTATCAGGCTGTTGACACTGAACTATTGCTGAAGCCATGTTCTTCCGAGGTAGTTACTTTCATTGACTTGTGCCTGCTATGATAGTAATGCAGGAAGAAAAAATTCAATAAAAACAATAAATACTTTCCATGATTAGTGTCTGCAGAGACTGGAGCTGATGGCTAAAAGAATACACAAGTGACAAAATAATTCAGAACAATTATCATGTACGTTCCGATCTTTCAAACCTGTGTAATCTGGGCTTGAATCTAGTTTTCCCTGCTCAGAATATGCTTGATCAATCACTCATCTTTCTGAGGCAGTGATTATGTAGATTGAAGGAATATTTATGCTAATTTTTTGTGTTTAGAGTTTACTGCTTGAAGTGCAGGAGTGAAAGGGAGGAGTTAGTAGAGGTGGGTTAGAAATCCTCTTGTAAATGGAATAGTTCAAGAAGTCAACATCCACATCTATGAACTACGCTGCTTGGCTAAAAGCTGGCTGGATTATGGAAGCATCCCTAACAGGGGATGCTGAATGTCTTTGCCAGTTAATCTCTAGCCCGTTTCAATGCAAAAACAGTGAGTGTTTCTGCTTGAACCATCTTTTGTGTTGGTGGGGCCCAGCGTGGCAATGGAAGCGGGCTGGGGACTATTACAGCATCGCGTGGCTCTATGGCTGTGCGTGCTGGCAGCTACATGTTATTGAACTGCACCAGTTCATTTCATGGCTTTTGTTGTTAACCTAATTTATGTAGAATCAGGTAGTGGGTATTGGCAGCCACTCAGTATTTTCATTGGTATAGGCCTTGCTTTAATGTGCAAGTGAATCAGCAAAATATTTGCTTCTGTCATCATGATTTCCAGCTGATTTTGCTAAAAAGGATGTGTACTTTTTTCCTAGTTTGTCTCTGCAGCCATTTGAATACCCAGTTTGCACACCAGATGGGACAGTCTTTGACATACTGTAAGTTACTGTCTGTACTTAGTTTTATTTTTGTGTTGCTGAACTGGTTACAGCTGTGTAATTATCGTTTTGTCTTAGCAAGTTGGCAAAAATAATCTTGCTTATCAGCGGAGGTTTCTGATGGTGCTTGTCGCTTATTACTTTATCCCTTCTCTTTTCAGGAGCATTGTTCCTTGGATAAAGAAGTATGGAACCAATCCAATCACGGGAGAAGTAAGTAATGATGGGTGTATTCACATGATGTCTTTGCTTTCCTTGTGCTCAGTTTCCTGTTTAATGTGTGGGAGAAACAAAAATGCCATAATGAAAGCAAAAGAAGTTGAATGGGAGTGCTATTTCGAAGTATGGTATTTGTGAGATCAGGTTTGCTGAAATGTAGAGATTTACTAGGGATCTCTTTTTAGCTTAAAAAAAAAAAAAAAAAAAAAGAGCTTCTGGATTTGAGACCTGATATCCCCTCACTGTCATCCTGCTAATGATCTTTGTAGTAGAAAATAATCAGCCTCGGACTGTGTGCGCGGAAGAAAGAGGAGAGCTTTTTTTTTTTTTTTTTGCATTGGATTGTAAATAGTATGGCAGAGGAAATGTGCAGTTAATTTATATAAACTCCCAGGGTATCTTGCCTTTCTTACAGGTGTGGCATAATTAAAATCTGTATAGATGGAAATACGAGCTCTTTCTTTACTGCTAGTGATGCCCAGAAAGCCTGACTGGTCATTGTGCTGCTGCCTCGTGTAAGCAGAATTCTCGTCCGTACAGGGCAAGGGGCTGGCAAGCTCACCTCTCCATCTGTGATTAAACCTGCAGTGATGTTTCCTAACCAAAAGGATATTTGGCTTTATGCAGATTGAAGAGATTAATAGATGATATTATGAATGGTAACATTAAGCTGGAAAATCTTTTGAGGTACCTTGACAATATATTTCAGAAAGCTTCTGACCTGCCTCTGTCATGACAGTTCACTGTGAGACTGGGATTTCACACTATGATCAGCACCTTAGTGGTTTTTCCTCCCACCTTTTTCTGCATAAATGATAATTATGAAGGGATTACTTTCTGTAGTAGTGTGAAGTTGTAAAGCACCGGATAAATATGAAGTACTGGAAATATTTCCTTGTTGGAATTATTTTTTTTTCTGGTGTGTTAAAAGGGAGTGCATTGTTTGTGAGGGCGTAGAGGAAAATTTTAAACAGAAATTGTTGCTTGAGCTACTGAAACTTATCTTTTCCTTCAGTAAATGCAGTTACTTTCCCGAGCATTAGGTGGCAGCCATTGCACAGGATTGTTGGTTGGTTTGCAGATGGCTTTGTGGTATGAGATTACCTTTGAAACATCTTGTGTTTGATTAAAGATTTTCCCAGCAGAGAGATACGAGGAGAAGCTAAATACAGAAGCAGCATTCCAAACTCTAAACATGAACATGCTGTCTGAGACTCAATGTCTTCAGTTATAGCAAACTGCAGGTGTGTTTGTGCGATGGAAAAATGATTGAAGGTCTTTCTTCACACATGAAGAGGCCAATGTATTGTTGACAAGAAATGGAATTTCTTTTGTTTTCGCCAGCATCTCACCACCTTGCTGCTCTGTGCATTGGTTGGGAGTTTTGGGATGTTGCCAGAACAATTTTTTTCACGCAGAGCAGCTCCATGACACCTATTCTCGTTTCAAACTGTGAACCGTGATGTGGTTTAAAATTACTTCAGGTAAATGCTAAGCAAGAAGTGTAACGTGTCTAGTGGTCTTCTGTAATATAGAGAAAGGGAGATTGTGCAGAATATACTTGGTGAACCATAAACGCTCAAATGAAGTCGGACTTTGAGATCTGTTAGTTTACCCAGACTTGTGCTTCTGTAGTTGATCTGCAATGCACACCCAGCTCTCCGCAACACGCATCCTCTTTTCCTCTGTATCACTCTCTTTGCGGGGCCCTTTCTTCTTCCCTTTTCTTCAGTGGTGGACTTGTGCTGTACAGCTCTGTCCTCCACAGGACGAAGGTGTTCCAGACCACTTGGAAGAAAAAGGAGATGCTTGCTCTCCGGAACAGCACACAGCCCTATTGAGTCCAGCCCTGTGGAGCTATAAGTTGAAGAGTGGGGTTGAAGGAAGTGTCGTAATTTAGCCTTTGTTTCCCAGAGGGCCAGCTCTGGTTTTTGGAAGGGGAGGATGGCGTTGGGCAGGAAGGGGATGGGGGTGCTGGGACAAGGCAGGGTAGGTGGCAGAGGAAGTCAGTAAGTTGAGCTTGGACATCTCTAGGCTGTACTGCCCTCTATTTAATCTATCATTGTGTGTGCACCTTCTATTAGTTGTACAGCTTGCTCATTGTGGAAACCAGAAAATACTTTCTGTAATGAGTTGGTGACTTACAGAAACTTAAGACTCCGGGTTTGTTTAAAAGGGAATTGAGCCAGGTTAGCTGCAATGCCATGTTTTGTATGGTGACTTATGAAGCGACTGCACAGATTGATGATTCGTCACTGGTGATGAGGCTCTGGAGAATTTTTCCATTTTTTTGTCCGGAAGTTAAAAATGATAATGAAATCCTTTGTGGCTTGTACTTCTGTTGTTATGGTTTGCTACAGGCCAAACATTTTAGAGAAGTCAATAGGCTACTTGGAAACGGTGTTGTTAATGGTGCACTCTTGATACTCACTAATTCTGTCTAGCTGTCTTATTTCTGAAGTGGACCCCTCAGTGGAGAATTGTAGAGCCTTGCAATCATTAATATATTTATCTTTGCAGTGCTCCCAGGGGGTAGTGCTGTGCTAGTCTTTTATTAATTGGATGTTTGTGAACTGATCTACAAGTCACTTCTCTGATTCTTCCGAGTCCTAAACTATTGGACCAATCTTCTTTTTTAAAGAAATTTTGCAATGCCAAGATCACTGTTATTCTTTGATATGTTTAAAATATTTTAATTTTTTTTTTGCTTTCCTTCCCTGTACTTCCTCATGGTTTACAGTTTTTTTTTTCTTGCTTTTCTGAACATTCTTCTAACGTGCAGTATGGACACCAATGTCTGTTTAGGAGAAACAAATCACCATTGACCTTTGTCTAGAGTTTCCCATGAGCTATTCCAGAAAGTAACTTTAGATTGATTTCCCCTCCTCCCCCCCCTTTCTAATAATGCATTGGGGTAAAAAATACTTCTGTTACCACACCAATAATTTTGGAAGAAACAGTGCAGCTGAACTACAGCCTGTCAGATGGCATTGGCTCACTTCCTTTTTTTGTCAGCTTTGTCAGGACACTGCCCTAACTTATGTTTACACTAAAATTGCATAAAATAAAGAGGAAAGTCACAGTTAGCTCATTCCTTTTTACTGAGAACAGCACTTTGGCTTTTTGGGCTTGCAGATAGCTGCAGGCTTGCCAGAACGTTTCATGTAGCGGCGATATGACAGCAGTGACCAGCATGCCCACACAAGTCAGCCAGCTGGGCTCAGGAGTACCTGTTCCCAAGAACTGAGATTGGTCAAAGCGTGTCTGGTTTGCTGGAATCTCAAATATGAACAGATGAGAGTTCAGCATCCCTTTTGACAGGAATTTCAAGGAAATTGTTCTTTGTTGCATGGATATGTTATATGTGGGCTGAGCTGTTTTTCTCCTTTGCATTGTAATGTTTCTGATGTAAATACCTATTTTTCCACTCTGGTTCAGTGACATTCTAGCTGCATGTGGGCAGGCCAGATTACTGTGGTTGTAATTCAGCCCTATTCAAGGCTCTGTAACCTTGGGCAAATATCTCCCTTCCCCTGTATCAGAAATAGCGAAGGTCTTTGTCCCTTGTTCCCCCTTTTCTGTGGGAATTTGGTTATTTTGGACAGTTGAAAGTCAGTTAATCTTTGGTGTTTGCTTCTAAGGCTTTGTTCCAAAGTCAATTTTGGGACTGTTTTAAGTGCATCTGCTTTTAAACTCATATAGAGGGCTCACCTATGTGAATTCTTTCTGCACTGCGCAGAGCAAACTAAAATCCTTGTGTCTGCTGATCCTGCATAACCCAGAGAGGCAATCCTCATGTTAAGGGCCACGTGCAGCTGTGCGGTTGTTGCGTATATATGTCTTGAAGGGCAAACAGGATTCAGTCGAGTTAATTTAGCTTGGGCTTAACATATGCCTAAGAGTCAGGTTGAGAGACCTGAAGATGCTGTGTGGTGGATGTATGAGACTAGGAGTCACGTTTCTGGTCCGAATGAGGCAGAGCACAATTTGTCTTGTTGCCTGTCTTGTGCAAGGTTAGGATCCAGACCTCCAGAGAGAGCTTAATTCTTAAGTGTCACAAGGTTTTAGCTTCTTACTAGGTTAAACAGGGAAATTTTTATAAATTCTGAGGGGGTTTTTTTAGGGTTGAGAAAGCCTTTTGCTTGGGCTGCCTCTGAAGATAACCATAAAAAGGAGTCTGGGGCATATAAAGAAGTAGTAGAAGGCAGAACCACTGACATGGAAAATGAGGACTAACTTTGGAGTCGGAAGGCTGAAAATCTCTGACTTTTCCCAGTAGGACATCTGCCTTCTTAAAGAGAGGGCTGTACCCAAAGTTCTGCTCTGTGTACAAGATAAATATTTGCTATTGTTCTCCCACACTCTTAATCCTGTATTTACCAAATAAAAATGACTTGGGGTGAGATTATGACTAATATGACCAAACAATTGCGGCAGTACAGGTGCCTGCCTCATGCAGTAAGCCTGTCTGATCCACGCTTTGACAGCACCCAGAGACACACATCTTGTACCTGCAATGCCCTGCAGCAATGACAGAGCCTGTAGTGGACACCTCCTCGCTCCAGCATTGCTCACATAGGAGTGTAAGCAGTGCCCTTTTTTTTTTTTTAATAATTTGTTTGAAATAAGGTTGGTAGGATGATGCTTGCCTGAATAATTACAGGCACTTTCAAAACCAGTAACTTCTTACCCTCAAAAGAAAAAATTGCAACTAAGTCTGTTGTTTCAAAACTTTGGAAAGTCATTCTCAAATACATTCTTTAAATATGTTTATTAGCTAATTCCTCTCCAAATGCTGGTGGCTATTGTGACTTCATTTATTGTGAAAGCATGGTTTCTTTTCAATTTGATCAACTAGATTTCAGTCAGTCTCGTAGAAATCAGTTGCTGGTCTTGTGGTGAGAGAAGCTTGCTGACCAGGTTAGTGGAGAGGATATGGAGAAGATTACTTTTTTACCGCTGTATTTATTAATCCCACTTTAAAAATGAACAAA